TTCAGTAGTTTTCTCGGTTAGCGCGGTCTAAGAAAAACCCTTACAATTTTATATAATAGTATAGATAGATTAATATTTTTGTTTTTTTAATAAAATTTTTTTTTATATTTTCTTTTAGATAATATAACAACAGTAAGCTTATGAAAATTTTATTTTTTTTAGTTATAAAAATATTTCCTTTATTTTATTAATAATATGATATTTTGAAAAAAAATATGTAGTCAACTTTCCACTTAAAATGTATTTAATTAAATATGGGTAAAACATTATGTTTTAATAAAATATCGCCTAAAATAAAAGGTAAGAATTGTTACAACTTACAACTTAAGATAAATAAGATTATTTACCTATCTATCTTAATATTAATCAAAGAATTTCATTTTTTATTTTTTACTAAGAGAATTTTGTTGATTTTGTTATGTTTTATACTTTTATACCATGATAATGTATGTTATAAAAATTATAATTTGTTTTTATTTTATTTTAAATAATTAAAGCGTTAACACTACATAAGTTTTTAGCCTGATCTATCTTAATATTTAATTACAAATTACAAGTAACATATTTTTTTTAGTTACATTATATTGGTAAATGGTTTTACAATTTATTTAACATTGAAATAAAATAGAAAAAACGCAATTAAAAATAAATACCCRAAATACCGGGTATTTATTTTAAATACCGGGTAAATACCCTGGTTATTTACCCTAAATTTATTTACCGGGTATTTACCCATCACTACTCATACCAGTCTTCCGCTCCATACGCTGTTTCTCGTCCGCAGAATTCCTTAACCGTCTTGTTAAGATCTGGGACGATTCGAAACTCACCAATCGTACTACCAACACCGCTTGTGTTCCCACTGACTAAGGGAGTTTCTACTTTTTGGTTTTCGGTCAGAACCCTCAACTGTTCGGTCAATCGTTGAACCATAGCATGCAACTCGGGATAGCTAGGCACTATTATCGGTTGATTTTGATCTAAATTTTCAGTCATTATGAGCTTCTTCACCAGCGTAATAACAAACGCGTTATCGCATATAAGCTACAAMCATACTTTGATAACGTTACCGGGTATCGCAACACTGTTTACCAGTTAACAGTTAACGGTACGTAACCTCTCTTCTCGCTTGTTCCCACGACGACGACAACATTACGAACACCAAAATGTT